AATCTCTCCTCATAGCTAATACCCTACAAACTAGACAATGTCCTGGTAAACAGTTTGTGTGTCCTCTCCAAAGCCTCCACATCTTTCTTGTAGTCTGAGGACCAGAACTGTACACAATATTCCAAATGTAGCCAAACTGTAGTTTTATGCAGCTACAGCATGATCTGCCAATACTCAATGCCCCAACCAATGAAGGCAAGCATGCTGTATAACTTCTTTACCACTTGTGTTGCCACTTTGAGGAAGGAATGGACTTGCACCCTAAGACCCCTCTCTATATGTACTGAAACTGGTTGCTCCTAAGGGTCTTGCCATTTACTGTAAACTTTCCTCTTGCATTTGACCTCATAAAATGCATCACCTCATACTTGTCCAATTAAACTCCATCTCTGCCCAACTTTCCAACTGACCTATATCCTGCTGTATTCTTTGACAATCTTCTGCACTATCCACAACTCCACCAATTTTCATGTCATCTGCAAACTTACTAAAGAGACAACCTTCATTTTCATCCAAATCATTTATATATATATTCCAAACTGCAGAGATCCCAGCATTAATTCTTGCTGGTCACAGACCTTCAGTCAGCAAAACAACCCTCCACAACAAGCCTCTGTCTTCAATGACCAAGCCAATTTTGTGTCCAACTTATCAACTCACTGTGGATCCCACATGAGTTAATCTTCTGGACCAGCCTGCCATTAAGGACCTTGTCAAATACTTTAGTAAAGTCCATGTACCGAACGTCAAACACCCTATCCTCATCAATCATCTTCATCATTTCCTCAAAAAAACTCAATCAAGTTTGTGAGACAAGACCTCCCCCATACAAAGCCATGCTCACTATACCAAATAAGTCCATTCTTTTCCAAATGCAAGTAAATCCCAGCTCAAAGAATCTTCTCCACTAATTTCCCTACCACTGATGTAAGGCTCTCTGGCTTATTATTTCCCAGGTTATCTCTATTGCCCTTCTAAAACCAAGGACCAACATTGGCTATTCTCAAGTCTTCTGAGACCTCTCTTGTGGCTAAAGAGGACACAAAGATCTTTGTGAAGGTCTCAGCAATCTCCTCCGTTCCCTCCCTCAGTATCCTGCGTTGGATCCATCAGGCCTTGGGGACTGAATCCCTGGCCTTGGCAGTCACATGATAAAGACTGTGCTGCAAGTTTGGAGCTGGAGCAACTCAGAGCTGGGAGCTGTGCAGCCCTATTATCAAATTTATACTGTTAATGAACAAACAGCAGGAGGTCTGGCCTGACCTTTTCAGAAGATAAACCTCGACTAAAACTTTTGGCGGGGATTATTAGGGGAACTGTACACTGATTTCTTAAGTAATTGGACTTTTCAATAGTTACTCTGTGTTCACATGTGCTGCTTATCATTCAGCTTATGATAAAACTTGCTTCCAGTCAAGAACCTGTTTTCTTATTTACCACATCATTGTGACATTGCTGTGCCTAGTTTCTTTAGACAGCAGAGGGTAGGCATAAATGGGTCATTTTTGGGTTGCGTACTGGTTTGTCTCCTTTTTTAGGGAAGGATATAAATGCATTAAAAGCAGTAGAGAGAATGTTCAGTTGATTGATACCTGGGATGAGGAGTTTATCCTATGAGGAATTATTGAACAGTCTCTGCCTGTGACTTTAGAGTTGAGAAGAGTAATTGATGACCTTATTGAAACATACGATATCCCAAGATAATTTGACAGGATTAATACAGTTCTGGTGAAGGGTCCCGACCCAAAACGTTGACTTTCCTGGTCCTCTGATGCTGCCTGGCCTGCTGTGTTCCTCCAGGTCCACATCGTGTTGTCTCTGACTCCAGCATCTACAGTTCTTGCTATCTCTGATTTGACAGGGTGCTTACTAAGAGTGTTGCTAAAACTAGGCTTACACTTTAAAACCAGATGGCTCAGTGGTTAGCACTGCTGCCTCACAGCACCAGGAACCCAGGTTTAATTCCACCCTCGGGTGACTGCCTGTGTGGAGTCTGTACATTCTCCCCGTGTCTGCATGGGTTTCCTCCGGGTGCTCCGGTTTCCTCCCACAGTCCAAAGATGTGCAGGTTAGGTGGATTGGCCGTGCTAAATTGCCCCCAAAATGTGCAGGGATGCATAGGCTAAGTGGGTTAGCCACAGAAAATGCAATGCTACAGGGATGAAGTGGGTCAGAGTGGGATGCTCCTTGGAGGGTCAGTGTAAACTTAATGGGTTGAATGGCCTGCTTCCTCACTGTAGGGATTCTATATATTGTATGCATAAAAAAAGGGGTCTCCCATTTAAGATGTAGAAAAGAAAGAATTTTTTTTTCTCTCAGGATGTTGCAAGTCTTTAGACTGTCTTCCCCAAAGAGTGGTGGAGGGAGCGTCATTGAATATTTTTAAGACCGAGGTATATGGGCTCTTGACTAAAGAGGAAGTCAACATTGTAAGAAGTAGATAAGAATGTGGGACCACACTCTGACGAGCCATGTTCTTATCGAATTATGGAATAGGCGCAAGGGGCCAAATGGCTCACTCCTGCACCTAATTCCACAGGAGTGAAGATGTCTAGCTTCAATTATATAGAATCTTGCTCAGACCTCATCTGGAGTCATGTATGGGGCGGTGGTCTCATTTATTTGGGAATGATGCCTTTCCTATGGAGGAAATGCAGCTGAGATTCACCGGGTGCAGTTGTCCTCTGAGGAGAGAGGGCCGATATTATCCAACATTTAGAAGAATGATAGATGATCTCATTGGAACTTATACATTCTTACAGGGTCGACAGGGTAGATGAAGTATGGGAGGATCTAGAACAACAGGATACAGTCTCAGAATAATTGTGCGGACAATTTAGGACTAAGACGAGGAGGAATGTCTTTCCTGTGAGGGTGGTGAATCTTTGGGATATTCTGCCTCAGTGGGCTGTGGTTGAGAATGACTGGTTACCAATCATGTCAAGAGATATAGGGCAGCACAAGAATATACTGTTGAGGTATATATGATCAGCCCTGATCTGGAATGACAGAGCAGGCTGAAGGGGCTGAATGGCCAACTTCTGCTACATGCTCGTATGTTTCTTCGTACTGAAAATGCTTGGAGGACTTTCTGCCCCTAGAAAGGGAACAGGATCTCATTCCTCATGTCCAAAACATGCACCAGAGCCTCCAAAGCAGCTTAAAGGAATGTGAGTATTTTCCTGCACCTCGTCGTGGCATTACTTTACTTGTCTGAATCTGTACCCACCAAAGAGGGACACAGCTAGTAAGCAGCAACAAACTGGTAGATCTGGCTGCACAACTGGCTCATGACAACTAGCAGGTAACATGTATCAAACATGGTACCTGGAAAGACAATGGAAAGACAATGAATGAGAGCAACACCCTTCCTGAACCCCTGTGTTACTCTCTCTGCTCTTGCACCACTCTCTGTGCCCTAGCACCAATTTCTCACTTCCCTCACTGCCTTTTCTGCCCTCCAACAGCACCATCACTGCCCCTGAAACCTCTCTGGCCCTGCACCACTGTCTCCCAACCCGCACCGATCTCTCTCTGCTCCTGTACCCTCTCTCTGCACCACAGCACTCTTTCTGCCCCCTTGTACCAGTCTCTCTGACACACACCCTCTCGGTTCTCCATGTACCAGTCTGTCGCACAACCTCTCTCTTTCCCCACCACCAGTCTGTCTGCCCCACACCCTCTTTCTCCCCCCGTACCAGTCTTTATGAATCACACCTCTCTCTTCCCACTCCACCAGCCTCTCTGCCCCACACCCTCTCTCTTCCCCCTGTACCACTCTGTTCCTGCACCACTTTTCCCTCCCATCCCACTCCATTTTTCCTGCAATCAGGTTTATAGGCTGGGATTTCTTAATGAGTATGAATGATTTAATCTTTGCATTTCTCTTAACAGTGTTACTCCCAAAAATAACACGATTATTGTGTGAATGCAGTCTTACAGCAAACACAGCTGCTATCCTCTCCTCAACCACCTGCACAGAGGGGATGGCTGACCCAGTGTCGATTTGCAAGTCCTCAGCATCTGCCCTATTGTTTCATGTAGAACGTAGAGAGCTCAGAGCTGGCTTTGGCTTGTTTCACGTGGACTACAGATTCATATTTGAACCAGTGTTAAAGCAAAGAAAAACATCAAAGCAATCCAGAAGAGTGGTCTTTTGGTTCTGAGTCAGATTGATTCAGCAGGGTAAATTTAATTACTTCAGGGAATATTGAGTCATTCGAGGAAGTCAGCCCATTGGTACAACAAGTAAATAGGAAAGCTAATAGCATGTTATTATTTATTGCATGGGAATTCAATTTAAAAAGTAGGGAGGTTAGGCTTCAGTAACTCAAAGCACTTGGTGGTGGCGGGGGGGCACATCTGAAGAACTTTATACAGCATTAGTGTCCTTATTTAACTACATGGAAAGCAGTTCAGGGAATTTTCCCTAGACTGATACTGGAATGCATGGATTGTTTAACAAGGAAAGTTTGGACAGGCTAAGCTTGTATCTCCTCGAAGAGACTTGATTTGACACTGATCAGATCTTATGGGATCATTACTGGGTGGTTGTGGAGATGATGGTTCTTTGGATTAACAATAATACCACTAGGCCATTGCCTCCCCCCAGGGTCACTGTTTTAAAGTATTTAGTCACCCAATTAAAGCAAAGAGGATGAGAACATTTTTCCCTTCGGCGGTTGTGAGTATTTGGGATTTTCTTCCTCAAAAGGTCGTGGAAGCAGATCTTGGATGTTTTTAAGACAGAGGTGGACAGTTTCCTAATAGGCAAGGGGTGAACAGTTATTGGGGCAGGCTGGAATGTGAAGGAAGCAAATCAGCCATAATCTTATTGAATGGTACAGCAGGTTCAAGGGGCTGCGTGGTCACTCCAGCTCCTAATTCATATATTTGTGTTCTGATCTTGCAGAGATCTGGAGTTGAGAATCTGACTTGCCTTTGAGATGTTCTTGTGAACCCCCATTTTAACCATCTTTCTTCTCTGTCCCTCTCTCCAGTTCGCTGACATTGGTACCTTTGAGACGGTGTGGCAGGTGAAGTTCTACAACTATCACAAACGCGATCACTGCCAGTGGGGAAACAGCTTCGGAAGCATTGAGTATGAGTGCAAACCCAACGAGACGCGTAGCCTGATGTGGATCAACAAAGAAATGTTTACTTAGGATGCCATTTTACAGAAAATCCTTCTGAAACATCAGCAATGGGCAAATTATAACTGTCTACAGTCAAGAATAAAATCACCACGCCTTAATGTAGACACATTTGGGTTGAAATAACAGTGTGCAATAATAACAATAGAAGCAGTAAATGCTGTTATAAATTTATTTTGCCTGATACTTTAATGTGGGGCAGTTATTCTTAGACAGAAATATTTGATGCAAATACATTTGAGACACATTTGTTATCAATATCACTCAACACAGTTTAAGCTCCAGTATCACTATTCTATGGACAATATTTACACTTGGCATTATCAGTAAGGAGGGTGCATTTTGATGTGAAACATCTATAAACTGTCTTAACAAAGCGAACAAAAGTATCTTATACAAATGCAGTGCTGACCTGGCACAGCTCTGTTAAGCATTGAGAGAAAGGTATAAATAATTCTGCATGGGCATCTGTTTAAGTTACCGTTGCAATTATAGCTCACCAGACAGACACCAGTAGTTTGTGTTCTTTTATGTGCAAAATTGATTTAGCCTACCTCGATTTAGGTACAAATGGTGAGTTGTGGGAGTGATGAGTACTATATTTGGAGTTAGTCAATGCAACATGAATTTGAACAAAAGTTAGCTTAAAATGTGCATGTCATCCAGTTACGTTTTTAACTTGTGTTTGTGATTCAATGTATTTCTGAAATGGTTAGTGTTTTTTGAATTATGATGTGTTGCTGTTTGTATTCAAAGGTTTTTGTATAATCGTGCAATGTAGTGTTCTCTTTTGTAATATTTTCTGATTGGGTTTGGGGAGGTAATAAGCATTCCCACAAAATATGTTAGCTGTGGATAAACAAACCACGAGAGAAATTATTGTATCTGCATCAATAATTCCTTGAAAATTAAATTCTACATTGAGAGCCTGTGGTGGCCAATTAAAAGTATCAATGCACAAAAACAATTATTTCATTTAGTTGAGATGCCATGAGGAACAGGTTTTGCTGAAGGCTTTTACATTGTCTTTGTATTCGCAGTGGATAGGCTCATATTTAGGGGATTCAATGACCTCATGGTATTATGAGTAGGCTACTAATCCACAATCCCAGGTAATATTCTGGGGACCTGGCTTCAAATCCTGTCATGAAGATGCTGTAATTTTAATTCAATAATTAAGTGGTTAATGACGGTGATGGAGTCACAGTCAATTCTTGGGGGGAATACTCATCTGGTTCACTAATGTCCTTTAGGGAAAGAAATTGTTATCCTTATCTGGTCTGGCCTACATGTGACTCCAGACCTGCAGCAATGTGGTTGACCCCTAATTGTCCTATGGACAAGTATCATGAATGAATAATTAAAAATAACATTATATTTTGTCTAGTTTACAGCAAGGGGAAATGGGCTACAACATGAACCTGACATAGATTGGATGTTAGCTTGGGATTATTCAGTAAATGTTGTCCAATCGTGGAATCAAATCTAATGTTGAACATCATGTTCTGAGCTTTGAAAGTTGCCATATTTATACCTCTTTATTGAACAGAGATGTCACATTTGCAATCCTCCAGTTGTCCGACAGTAGCTCCATGTTTAAGGGGGACTACTTACTTGTTATATTCTCTTCTCAAGTGAGGTAGTCATTTAGTACTTCAGCTAGGCCGTTTCTCTCTACAAGAGCATTCCCTTTTCACTCTCTAATTGCCTCATTCCTTTACCAACTGATACTTGCTGCTTATGGGTTTATAAAAGGTTTAAAGTTACTGTCAGTGTAGTTACATTTGATAAATCTCTATAAGTGAATCAGAGTTGATAATTGCTAATGAGTTATATTTTCCACCAAGAAAGGACATGTATCCATCACTCTTTGCTCACGTAATTTTTTTTGACAAAATCGGCAAGTGAAAGAATAGAACCCGATTTATCTGATGTGGAATGCTTGGCACCAAGTCATTTCAGGATTTTGGAATTTTCTGGGTTATGGAATGATGTTAGAATACCTAACCATGTGGGCCAATCAGTAATCACTATCAATACAAATGTTTACCTGAAGCATTGAACAGTGACAAAACATTATAATGCACCACTGAAAATTGTTTTACACACCCATATACTGTATCTTCCACATTCCATCTCCCAGAATGTTGTGCTAAGATGATGCCATGAGCTACTTGGCCATATTCAAAAAATGTTTCCGGATGCTGGGTGTTTCTGAATAGCAGATTTCCAGTCTATAGAGGTTATAGTGTATGACAATACTGTACAGCCAATTTCATGAACATGAGTGCTTTTCTTTATAGGCTATTGTCTCTAAAATACAGTGGCTGTGAATTTAATCTCTTTTGATGTCACATGAGGCTTGTGTCTTCTCAGGGATGCTTCTAATCAGGCACATGGTTCATCCTCTTCAGCAGGCACCACCTATGTAACACTGGAATCACGTAATGGAATGCTACCCCAAAGTCACACGGGATTTGGTATGAACATGGAATCACTACACTGTGGAAGCAGGCTATTCAACCCATCAAGTCCACACCAACCCTCCAAACAACATCCCAACCAGACCCACCATGCTACCCTATCCCTGTAACCCTGCATTTCCGATGCTAATATGCCTAGCATGTGCATCCCTGGATACTATGGGCAATTTAGCATGGCCAATCCACCCTAACCTGCACATCTTTGGACTGTGGGAGGAAGCCAGAGCACTGACATGAAACCCACGCAGAAACAGGGAGAATGTGCAAACTCCACACAGACAGTTATCCGAGGCTGGAATCGAACCTGAGTTCCTAGGGCTGTGAGGCAGCAGTGCTAACCACTGAACCATTGTGCCGTGCAACATATCTTTGACCTTTAGCAGTCCATGTCCAAAGGTAAGTAACATTTGCGCAACACAAATGCCAGCAATAACCATTTCCAATAAGAGACAATCTAACCACTGCCCCTTGACATTTATGGCATTGCCATCACTGAATCCGTCACTATCAACATCCTGGGGGTTACCATTGACCAGAAACCGAACTAGACTCACCATTTAAGTAAAGTAGTTATGAGAACAGGTCAGAGACTAGAAGTACTGCAGTTAGTAACCCACCTCCTGACTCCTCAAAGCCTGCCCACCATCTACAAAGCACAAATCAAGAATGTGATGGAAAACTTCCCATTTGCCTGGATGGGTGCAGTTCCAACAACACTCAAGAAGCTTGACACCATCCAGGACAAAGCAGCCACATCCACAAACATAACTCTCTCCACCACCAACAAAGAGTAGCAGCAGTATGTACCATCCAGAAGATACACTGCAGAAATTCAATAAGTATCTTTAGGCAACACCTTCCAAACCCATGAACGCTTCCATCTAGAAGGACAATGGCAGCAGATACATGGGAATGTCACTTCTTGCAAGTTCCCCTCCAAGCCACACACCATCTTGTCTTGGAAATATATTTATCATTTCTTCCATGTCGCTGGGTGAAAATCCTGGAATTCCGTCCCCAACATCATTATGAGTCTACCTACAGCTCATGGACTACAGTGATTCAAGAAGGCAGCTCACCACTATCTTCATAAGGGTAGCTAGGGATGGGCAACAAATGCTGGCCAGCCAGCGATGACCACATGCCATAAGTAAATTTTTAAAATGCAAACAAGAAACAGGAGTAGGTTCCTTGGCCCTTCAAGTCTGCTCTGCCATTCGATAAGTTCATGGCTGATCTGATTTTAACCTCAACTCTACTTTCCTGCATCTCCCCTGATAATCTTTCATCTCCTTGGTCTTCAGGAATTTATCTACCTCTGCTTTAAAAATATTTAAAGATTCTGAATGAAATTCCAAAGATTCACACCTCTCTGATAGAAAATAAAAGTTTCCTCTTCTCTGTCTTGACTGGGTGACCCTTTATTTTCCTCAAGATCTAGATTCTCCCACATGAGAAAATGTCCTCAGGATATTATATGTTTCACTCCATTCATTGCCCAGATGCCCAGGGCAGATACAGGTTCAAATCGCACAATAGCTGGTGAAATTTAAATTTGTTAATTAATAAATCTGATGTACCTGACCAAATGTCTTTTAAATGTTGTAACTGTACCCGCCTCTATCACTTCCTGTGGCAGCTCTTTCATATATGCGCCACTGTGAAAAAGTTGCCCCTCAGGTCCCTTTTAAATCTTTCCCCTCTCACTTTAAACCTATGCCCTCTAGTTCTGGACTCCTCTATCATGGGAAAAAGACCTTGGCTATTCACCTTATCTATGCCCCTCATGATTTTATGAATCTCTATAAGATCACCCCTCAGTCTCCTATGCTTTGGGGAAAAAAGTCCCAGCCTATCCAGCCTTCCTTCTAACTCAAAATTTCCAGTCTCAGTAACATCCTTGTAAATCTTTTTTGCACCCTTTCCAGTTTAATAACATCCTTCCTTTAGCAGGGCGACTAGAAATGTACGCAGCACTCCAAATGTGGCCTTACCAATATATTAGACAGCTATAACATAACATTCTAATGCCTGTACTCAATGCTCTGACTGATGAAGGAAAGCATGCCAAATGCATTCTTCACCACCCCGTCTACCTGTGACACCACTTTCAAGGAACTGTGTACCTGCACCCACCCCTAGATCTCTTTGCTCGACAATACTCCCTAGGGCCCATCATTAATTGTATAAGTCCTGGCTTGGTTTGTCGTACCAACATGCAACACCTTGCATTTATCCAAGTTAATCTCCATCTGCCATTCCTCAGCTCACTTGGCCCAATTGATCAAGATCTCTTTGTAATCTTAGATAACCTTCTTCACTGTCCGCTTTACCACCAATTTTGGTGTCATCTGCAAACTTACTAACCATGCCTCCTATATTCTCATCCAAATTGTTTATATAAATGACAAACAACAGTGGACCTGGCACCGATCCTTGCAGCACACTGCTGGACACAGGCCTCCAGTCTGAACAACAACTGTCTACCACCACCCTCTATCTCCTACTGTCAAGCCAATTTTGTATTCAGTTGGCTAGCTCTCCCTGGATTCCATGTGATCTAATCTTACTAACCAGTCTACCATGTAGAATCTTATCGAAGGCCTGAGTTAGGACTGGAGATCTGGCTTCTCGTCCTGACCCTGGGAGTAGAGGTGATGGCAAGTACCCATGACCAAATGGCTCATAATGAAACATCCAAAGACAAAAAGCCAAAGCTCCAGCTTTGGGTAACGAACACAGACCATAGGAACATGGTTAAATAAGTAGATGTGAAAACTAAGAGCAAACAATCAGAGATTCACAAATCTCAGGTACAGACTAATTAAAAATGGATGCAATGTTGAAATAGTTTGTGTGGATAATAATACTCACAAGCAGGATTGTAAAGAACAAAATATGCTGTCATTCATATAAATAGATGTATTTGCAGGGCATGCTATTCCTTTATTGTGTAGAGTGAAATTAAATCACATATTGCTACTGTTCAGGTCCACTGCTTTGTTTATGAGAGTCTATTCTCTCCACTCTGCCCTGCTCTGCTATCGATTTTCAACTGCAGAAGATATTAACCTGCTCAGATTGATTGTGCATATTGTCGAGTTGTGCATGTTTTGGAGTGCATTTGAAAGCTCTAATACATCATAGATTTAATGAAACATAATAGATCTTCTATTCCATGACAAATGGAAGCTAAATTCTGTTGTAACAATCATGGACACAGTAGGTAGAGCCTTCTCAGCCTTGTACCAAAGTGAGAAAGTCAGGAGGATCGCATGAGATTACAGGACAGGACCTTCCCATCATTGAGAGTAAGAAGTTCCATTTTCCAGCCAAGTGTTGAGGAACAAGTTGAGATTCTCACCGGTGAGTAGCGAGATGCTTATTTACATGCTTTAGTATCCTCATCATTCCCTCACTGATATGCACCAGGCAGCAACAATTCC